ACTGAACTTTGCAATTTTGGAGAGTGAACAGCATACCATGTAGGATATTGCTCTGTTGAGGACAAAGCTATAGAAAGCCAAGGTGAGTAAAGAACAACCTTATGTGAAAGACAGAATGGCTTGGTCTTCCACCTGCTTAGTAACCATGTTGTTTGAATAGAGATGATAGAGGTTGCTGGAGAAGTCATGTTAGCGCAGCACCAGAGGAATCTTGCCCATGGCATGGCTCTGTAAAGCTGCAAAGGGACATTGTTTTTTTGTTTTTACACTTTCTTCCTCACCTTTACCCAGGTCTTGACACGCTCCTTTCCAGCATCTTATTTCCATCATCATCATCCAGTAAAGGTTACGTCTTCTTAAGCCCCTCATAGCAGGGATGTTGACCTGCTTATCTGAACTTCCTTCACAGAATGAAAGTTGGAAAAAGTTGGGGTGTTCAGCACATCCCTGCCACCATGAATCCACCTGCCCTTCCCATCAGCTCTCAGCGGTAGTGAGAGAGGCTTATAATGGACAGCAAGCAGTGTCGTCTACACTGCGTCTTCCCAAAGAGCATCTGTTCAAGGCATAGTTATGCCATCCTTTTTTCCTCTTCTGCTTCTGGGCATGATGACCCTGATCACAGAAAAGGGCTGCTATCATCTGAGATCTAGTTCATTTAAAAAAAAAAAGAAAAAGCCAATAGTTTTGGATATTGCACTTACCCTAGTCTGCAGGCTTTCCTGTATTTCAGAATTATTTATCTCCCTTTTGTGCGAGAGACCTACACGAACCAGGAAAATGAATAGACAAATAACTGTTGAATGCTGCAAGTTTTGAAGCAGAGAATGCCCTCCAATTTTTAAGTCGTTAAAAGTAACCTGTAACAGTAAGTCATGAAAACTGTTTCAGGCGTTAGTGTAGTTTTCTTGAGCTTTAACACCTATTTTACTCACATTCACCAGAGCCACCTCTCTGCTTCATACCCAAGTGACTTCCTCTTGGATAGGCTGTAACTGATGCAGGATAAGTTTGTCCGTTTTAGCAGCAGTTCAGGTGGCTCCAGACTCTTCAGATACTGGTTCCAATGGTCTGGCTGTATTAAAGAACCAAGTTAGCAGCTCAGATTTTAGATGTTGTTTCCTTGCCCCTTAAAAAGATGTTTTTAACTTTGGAAGGCAGAAAGGAATTCTTAGCTCAAGATGAGATATTTATCCAAAAACAATTATTGTTTGTGCCTGTAGTTTAATACGTGCACAAAGTCTTTGGTCTCAGACTAGGCAGAAGATATATAATCTTGACTTAATGTAAAAGGAGTGGGGTGGGTGCTGCTTGAGCCCCTCATTTCGCCTGTCAGAGCACCTCTTTTCCTGCAAGCTTTACTACTTTGGAAAGGGCATTTTGGCTTGTGCGGGCAAATCATGTTGGTACTGTATAATCCTGAGTGAATTCAGTTAGAGCTTTTGTGATGCAATGGTCTCCCCTCTGGTCCACCCATTGAGAACCCAGTTTGTTTAACTTATCTGATCTTTTTTTTTCTTTACAGCATACATGAGGGACCTGCGTAGAGGGTTTCTCTTTAGCTGGAGCTGTGATTGTAGCATCAAGCTGGAGTGTATGGGAATAGGTCAGGTGTGACAGGCGAGAGAGCCTTTTGACGCAGAATGTGTGGGAGTGGCTGTAATGTGAGATTTGTACCGAGGACCAGGCTTCAAAGCCTGTCAAAGAACAAAGGCTCTTCCCATCCTAGTCACTAGGCTTTTGGTAGGATGAGTCCACTGGGATACCGTCTATTATTCAAAAAAAACCCCCCAAAACTAGGGCTGCTGTAATCAACAGGGCAGGTTCCATGTGCATACTATAGTGGTTACCCTGGCACAGGTTATAATACTAGCTTTTTTCTCTCCCTGTAGCGAATCCCAATTGTAATCTCTACTGACCTTTTCTTCCCCTTTTTCTGGTCTTTTCTTTTTTCTTTTTTGCAGGCACTGGGGAAAGCGGGAAGAGCACATTCATTAAACAAATGCGGATAATTCATGGCTCGGGCTACTCGGAAGAGGACAAAAGGGGCTTCACCAAGCTGGTGTACCAAAACATCTTCACTGCCATGCAGTCCATGATCAGGGCCATGGAGACCCTGAAGATCCTATACAAGTATGAACAGAACAAGGTGAGCCCCAGGGCATGACTCCATCTAGGTTTCATCCCAACCCTTGGTACATTTCCTTTCCTTGGCCCATGTAGATGTCTTATGTGTGCACACAGGAGAGCAGCTGTTCTGTTCCTCACAAACAAGGCTGTTCATAGGGCCACTCTTATTTAGGGTTTATAACAACCACAAAAAATTTGCCCCAGGCTGAAACTTGGCTTACAAATCTTGGGTCCAGGAGTAAATTTTTCAGCCAAATATGGTTTAAATGAGTTCAACTGGCTTAAACGTGTACAAGTGCCAAGAAATCAGATTTTAGTATGTGTGCTACTTTTTATTGGCTTATTTTTCCAAAATGAGGTTGTTTGACAGTTGGTTCAGATCATTTGTGCAGTGCTGAATTTTTGTATCCGTGTATAATAACTGCTTGATATAGGGGAAGTTTTTGAACACTGAGCTTCTTTTTATGCTTTTAGAGATGGTCCCACAAGATCAATGCTGAGAAATGGGCATGTTGTGAAGTAGCTTGTAGGACCCATATTTTAGCTGGTGTGTGGCTGAGTGGGGGATAGATCCCCTTCTCCTTAATGTACATAGCATTCAGTCTAGTTCTCGTCTTCCTTTTAGGGAATAGGATTGTGCAAATAGGCAGAATTTTGCTTCTTGTTGCAGCTTTATAGGGTTTTCAGGGTGTGGTTTGGGGATGTGTGAAAGCTAGGAAAATGTAACAGGCTGTCATGTTGGTTTAAGTCTTGTTTAAGCTATATGGCATCAATAGGAATAACATTCTCTTCTACCCCTACTTGAAGGAGAGACCTTCATTACAGTGGATTATGGTAGTATCTTCCATGCTCTTAAAAATTAAACAAAGCCTTAAAATGAAACCTGTGATGGGTACACTCAGGTAGCAAAACTGCTTTAACTCCCCTGATAGCAGGAAGTTCTGGCCCCCGCTTCCTCAAATCTTTACGTAGCTGGTATATGCAGTATATCTAAACCAGTGGTTCTTAACCTATTTGCCATAGTGGGCCACACTTGCAGCTCTCAATGTGTTGTGGGCTGCACCCACAACAGCTTACTTCCCATGTATCCATTTAACAGGATGTTACAGTGTGCTGTTTGGGCTGTGGCTTGAGAACTACTGATTTAAACTGTTGGTGACTTAATGATCCTGTGCAGCTGGATAAGCCATGTTAGTGTGCTGCCTTTTCTGCTTAAATCATTTCTGTCAAGGACCCTGTAATGCTTACAGGGACTTCATAGAAGTGACAACTATTAAAAATGCAAAATTGAAGCATTTCCTTTTTACCCTAATGCTGATCCCAGAAAATACTGATCCGGTTGTTTGTCAATGTGTAGTTTGTCCATGGTTGTTTTCCCTATGTCTTCATCTGTGACCCTGATGTGGCCTTCCTTGAGGCCTCAGTAGGAGGATCTCGCTTTAATATATGCTTCGCTGTCTTTTGCTCTTCTGCCCTCAGGCCAACGCACTGCTGATTCGGGAAGTGGATGTAGAAAAGGTCACAACCTTTGAGCAGCCATATGTAAGTGCAATTAAGACATTGTGGAACGACCCTGGAATTCAAGAATGTTATGACAGGAGACGAGAATATCAGCTCTCAGACTCAGCTAAGTAGTAAGTATATAAGCACTCTGTCATAGGATATCAGTCAAAAAAAAAAAAGCTGCCTAAAACCTTAGCTGAGGTCTGCAGTAAATAGTTATCTCACTGTAAGATGATTTTGCTGTCCTGTATTAATTTTACTTTTTAAATCTGCTTCCTCCTTTTTATTACCATTATGTGGATGCTGCTAGTGATTCAGACTGGTGGGGTTGTCTAGGAAGGGTGGCTATGTGCGCTTGGGTAGGAAGTGCCTGGATATATGGCTTTGCCTGTTCCTTCACCTTCCTCTCAGTCTGGTTCCGGTCACGTGCTGTGACCATGCTTTTTTGATGCTAGTCTCATAGATTCACTTTTTATTTTGTGGACTTTGTGCTGATGTATGCAAAGAGCTGTGTGTGTGTGGTGATGAGGTTTAGTATCAGAATGCCTGGAGAGCTCTTAACCATGTTTAGTGCCACCATCCTTGTGCACGAATTCAGTTGGGTAATATGTGGAGCTGCCTACCCCTCTGCTCTAGTGAATAGAGTCCTTACCCTACACCATCTCTCATTAGCCCCGGCTCCTTACATGGCAGAAATGCCACTCTTCTCTTCCAGGCTTGCTGTGGGTAGTTATAAGGGACCAAGATTTGGCCTATGCAGCTAGAAAGTCTGAGTGCAGAATAACTCAAGAAAATGGCAGTGTGTTAGATTGCATGGATATACTTCGCTTGTTTAAAATAAAAATTAAATTCTGCCCTGAGTATTGGAGATGACACAGTGCATCCAATAGAGAGAGGAGTTTCTTCTGTACCTGTTTCAGAAGAACTCAGTGAGGGTGGCGATGTCTTAAACTGGTTACTGTTGTCCTTTCCATTTGATGAGGGAAAGTTGTTTGTATCCACAGCTTTGCACATGGCTTTTTCTCTTCTCATTACTGAAGCTGAAGCAGAGTGCTTGGCTGTAACTGAGTGAGGTGTGACACATGGCACTGCGCTTACTACCGGGAAGAGATGGCTGGGGAATTGCTGTTTAATTAATAGAAAACTCGCAGAGAAATTAAATGTGCAGTACCTGTGAGGCCCTGCAGGCTCCCGAGGGGACGGACAAAGAAAGATTTCTCCCTGAAGAATGCCTTTTATTACTTTGTCCTGTCCCATTTTAAATGATTCAAGCGATATTACTATCAGTCAGGTATCTTTAGCCTCCTTGACTGTTTAAAACCTCTGTGTGCGCGCATGCTACAGTCTGAAGAGTTTCTCTCTGTGCTTCTTGCAGTTACCTAAGTGATGTGGATCGTATTGCAACCCCGGGATATCTACCAACCCAGCAGGATGTGCTACGGGTTAGAGTTCCTACAACTGGGATCATAGAATACCCCTTTGACCTAGAGAATATTATCTTCAGGTACTGAAGTCAGGACCTGTGCTCTGCTCAGTAGAACAAGCGGGTCTAAACCAGGAGGGTTTGGGGAGAAATAGTTATTTAAACTAGTAATCAAGGGTGTGAATCATGAGAAGATGCAAGAGCATGTGTTTGGGGAATACTGTGAAATTTTAGGTAAAGGGAGCTCCTATGTGTAGGGACCGAGTTAGTCCATGGTAGGATTTTAAGTTACTGAAGGGGACAGTAAGTTAGATTAAACCAATGACTTTTAGGACTGGAGGAAGAGGAATAGGTGTGTGGCATAGTTTGCTGTTAGACTTGCCTATGTCTCCAGAGAGCCTGAATGGTTGCCCAGCAGGTATTGTTGTTCCTCCTCTCGTGTTGGCACCCTGGCATCCGATGCATGTATAACAGCTCACAAGCCTATTGGATAAACTGGTTGTGTGCTTAATCCACTAAAGGAAAAACCAAGCTCTCTTCAGGCTGTGTTGGACTAGAAATTTCACCCTTCCAAGATTTATTTTTTTTCCTGAACGTTAATTACTTTGATCCCTGTAGCTTTCCCAGTGGAAGAAGTGGGGGAGAAGAGTGCTTTCTCTACACTAATGTTTTTTGTGTGCTTTCCAAAAGGGTACTCTCTGTCTAGCCTGGGCCATCAGGGTTTGACCTAGAGACCTGCTGCTTTTAATTTTTCTGCCATTGGTGTGTGGCTTAACTATATCTGTATAATAAGCACTGCATGCAAAGACACTGTTGCAAAGTAACAGTCTTCCTTCCTCTGTCTAGATACCAATCTTATCCATGTCACCCTAGAATCAATAGTATTGGAAGGGATTGGGGGAGGAGCAGGTTAAGAATTGAGGACTTGGTCTTCAGTTTCAGGCTTGAGAGAGTGATTTCTTTGAGCAGAGTGAAAGACGCATTCTCTGGGATTTGCTTTGCCCAGCTGTGAAATGGGTGTAATGCTCCATTACTAAACTGATTGGCTTTGTTATAGTTTTGTGGTAATCTTTGCATGTAGAAGGGCAGAGCAGGTTACTCTGAGCATTAACCTTTTACAAGCATGTGACTATATGGCTGACTACTTTTAAGCTTTACCTGTGTATTTACATAACCCTGTTCAACAACATGTTCTGAGGAAAGCCCTAAAGCAAGTCTTCAACCTCTGTTATGGTCGGAAGCTTTAAATCTTAATAGCAAAAAGCAGATAGGTCTGCCACTGGTAGAGTGGGGTCAGAGTGGAATTAGCTTTCTTTTAGACTGTGGCTTGGTGTGATTGGATGCACCTGGCTCTAGGACCTCTGCTCAGTAAATAAGGTCAGGATTCCAGTAGAAATGGAGATGCTGAATCCTGGGGCATGTGTTCTGCTGTCAGGTTTTCTGAAAAGTGAATCGGTCAAACTTGGTGATGGCCCTGAGACTGATATTTGAGAGGGCAGAGCAGGAAGCCTGTCAGACTGTCCTGCTAGACCTGTGTTGCAGTGTCCAGGGAGGGTTGCCTTTCTTTATATGCTAATGCTTTGGTTGATGAGGGGGAGAAGCTCTTACTGAACCTTGGCTGGCAATTGCTGCGACAGACTACATGTCTTTCTCTTCCTTTAGGATGGTGGATGTTGGGGGCCAAAGGTCAGAACGACGGAAGTGGATCCATTGCTTTGAAAATGTGACCTCCATCATGTTTTTAGTAGCCCTTAGTGAATATGACCAGGTTCTAGTGGAGTCGGATAATGAGGTAGGTCAAAGTGCGAGAGCTCTCCTAGGGTGAGAGGTATATCCTGATTACTTGGCGCTTGCTACCAAAGCGCTTGGTGCCCAGAAAACTGGGAGTTGGATTAGAAAGGGTGGTTTTTTCCAGCCTTCAGTTTTTCCTGTTACACAGTGAGAACGTAGGACTCAGTGCTTTATGGGTCCTACCTTGAAAGATTCTGTGCATTTCTAATGCGACCCTCCTAAATATATTTGGCAGTCTCATGCTCTCCCCCTCCACCCTAAATGTCTTGTATCGTGGCAACCAGATAATTCCTGGTCTCTTTATAATCCAACACTGTAGCTCCTTGAGCAGTTAGTAGAGGAGTTGCCATTAAGTGAGTGGGTACTCTTTACTCTTATGAGCTAATCGCTGCCTTGGCGGGAACAAGGCATAGTTACCAAAAGTAGGTTTCAGATATTCCGCATGGCAGTGCAAAGTTCAAAATGACTTTGGCCACTGAAATAGCTCCCTGGCTGACTTAATTGCTGGCCAGTAAATGAGACTTAAGTCAGGCCCAGGCATTGCAGCTGTTTCACACTTAACCACTCCACTGAGACCAAAACCTAAATAGCACCAGAGTGTCCCATGTAGGGAATCTCATGTCTGGGTTGATGTCTAGGGGTGTGGAGATGAGGCTTATTCACAAATGGGAGTTGATGAGATGTATTTCTTGTGTCAGAACCGAATGGAAGAGAGCAAAGCCCTCTTTCGGACCATTATCACCTACCCCTGGTTCCAGAATTCTTCTGTCATCCTCTTCCTCAACAAGAAAGATTTGTTGGAAGACAAGATCCTGTACTCCCACCTTGTTGACTATTTTCCAGAGTTTGATGGTAAGTAGCTTTTAAAAAGGGGCATTCAAACTGGAATTAAGCTTCTTGAAAACAACATGCTTCATCTGTATTAGATATGTATGTTCACGAGTGAATTTTTATGTGGTTTTCTTTCTCTATCTGTTTAGTCTGGAGTGCAGATGGGATGCAATAGAAAATTATGGGTTCAAATCTGAATTAGATGTAGAAGCACAGGTGGGAATGCGGTTTGGGAGGCCCTTTGTTGGGCAGAAATGCCTCAGACAGTGAGCAAATATGACAAGTACATTTCAAAATGTCTTAGTTTACAGATGTATAACTTTGTGAATTTGGAAAGAATGGACAGATGCAAAGTCCCTTTGTGACATTTGGCAACATCTTCACTTCTCAGGAGGAGCTACTTCCCTTAACTTTGCTCCTGGTTCTCAATTGAAATCTGGATACTTTATTTTGAGTATTAACCTCCATACATGTATAACTATGTGCGTGTACAGCTTAGATGGAAATGCTCATTAGAGTATTAAATTCAAACTCCTGCCAGGGAGCCCCTTCACTGATCATCAAATATAGACTGGTTAAATTATCCAAGTCACAATGGAAGCAATTTAAAAAAAAGCAGCAGCGTGAAATCGGTGTCTATCTGCCATCCATACTTCTGGGAAAATACCTACCTGATAAAAGGGAGTTTTCATCTGGTACTCAATTCTTTGTCACCTCTGATTTATAGCGTATTTATAAGGTGTTTCTAATGATGTAAATGATGCTGACATCTGTAAGAGTTCAAAGATAAATGAGGGACAGTGGAGGTTCAGGATTGGCAAACTTCTTTTCTTTTTTGAAGCCCTCCTTTTCTAGCTGTTTGTTCTTACTGGGGTTGACCAAGGCTCATTTGCAGTAATTGGAGAAACCCTTTTCCCTCTGCTGTTGGGAAGTACAGTAACTCCAGCGTCTTGTGGTAAATGTCAGATGTTCCTGCCATGGTCTGGGATCCATCCATTGTCCCTGGTCAACGTATTGTTGTTGGCTTCCGTTGTGATTTAAGACAACAGCTAAAAATCTGTTACTCTTCCTAATGCTGCTTTTTCCATGTTAACAATTAGTGTGGTAGTTACAGCAATCACTTGAATGGTTGTGAATGGGAGATGGTCCATGGAGGATCTTCCAGGTGGTCCATGCCATGGAAGAGTGAGAACACCAGACAGGTGTCATGGATCACGAAGCCATTTGTGATCTGGAATGGAAACTGACTTTGCTTTATGAACTGGCAGATCCATGAGAAAATAATAATATACCTTAGAGGTATTTTTAATGGAATTTGACTTTAGCATGCAAAAATAGCAACTAGATTCTGTTCCACAGCACACAAGATTGTAGCTATAGGGGTCATAAGGAAATCGGTGTCCTCCCCCCCAACGAACAGCTTTATTCCACTGTTGGCTAGATGTGTTATGAGGGGGTGAGATGATTCATTTGTATTGTGTATTTGCCACTTCAGCATAGTGGACCAGATGGGCTAATCATCTGGCCAAGTCCTCCATTTGAAAGAGCACAGTCTAAAGAAACCTCTTTGAGCTTGTCAGATTATGGTATTTTGGAGCACTGAAAAAGTTAGGTTAAAAGTAGGTTTCAACCATTAAGCATAAAGTGCTCAAGGCACTATGATTTGGAGGCCACAGAGGGGTTAAATTCCTTTGCCCCTGTAACCTCCCAGCCAGAGGAAAATGGAGAAAGGAAAACTAGCAATTCCTCTGGCACTTCCAACTGGGTTTCAAACTGAGTGCCTTTTACTGTTGTCCTTGTTTACTGCAGGCCCACAGAGGGATGCCCAGGCAGCCCGCGAGTTCATCCTCAAGATGTTTGTGGATTTAAATCCAGACAGCGACAAAATCATCTACTCTCACTTCACGTGTGCCACAGACACAGAAAACATCCGTTTCGTCTTTGCTGCGGTCAAGGACACCATCCTACAGCTCAACCTGAAGGAGTACAACCTGGTCTGACCTGCTCTGCCCCTTGCTCCTCCCTTCCATGGGAGGCCTTGTTGTGAAGAAAAGACAAACCGGAAAAATTTAAAAATTACAGGAAAAAAAAAATCTTAATTTTTAATGATGTAATGATTGCAAATTGTCTGATCTGTGGAGTGGCAAGTTTGCTCAGTGTTATCCTGGAAGTCTCATGTCTCTGTCCACAGAATAGTTGATTTTCATATTTTTTAACAAATTGCTTTTATTTCACAGTTAACGGGGGCCATGCCTCATTCTTCAGCACCTTCTTCACCCCTTATTTTTTACCAACAGGCAAAGCGGCCTCATCTCGGGCTTTTCTTCTGTTGCTGTGTTGTTTTTCTTTTTCCCTTTCCATTCCCATGGTATATATAGGTATATATAACTTTCCAGCCAAGATTGTGAATTCACTGGACTGTGGGAGCGTGGAATGTTACTGGTCCCTTTGCCTTGTGCTGTAGGGTGCCTCCGTAATCGCTAATCCTGCTTGCTTTCCCTCCTCACCCCTTCCCTTCCCGAGGACACGCTCCATGGTTCACTGTGATGAAATATCGGAGAAGAACAATTGCTCTCCAACTCTAGCGCAAAAAAAAAAAAAGGAAAAAAAAAAAGGAAAAGGAAAAAACCAGAAGAAAAAAAAAAAGCCGTCACTTTTCCATTCTTTGTACGATTTAGTCTGGGTTACTTTTTTCTTATCAATTATAAAAGGTATGGAGACTGTGATTTTTTTTTTTTTTTTTTTTTTTTTAAATTATTGATGTTCTATACATAGTTTGCTACATATTGCTGTATTTTGTTCATGGACTACAAATGGTGGGAGCTCTTGGAGCAATAGCTGCTGAGCCTGGGGAAGTGCCTGACTGTATTTTAAAAAAAAAAAAAAAATAGTAGGCTCAATTCATGGAAGGAAAACTTTCCCTCTTGTTGAGTGTGGAGCACAAGGCATTGCCTGGGCGACTTCTCTATGCAGCAAAGATCAGAAGCGCGCGGAATCATTCTGTGGCATTTAAAACCCCAAATTTTGGCTAGAGCAAAGATCTTTTGAAATCTCCCGTGCTGCCCTCTGGTTCTTGCGCATGCTGCCAACAGCAAGAGAGTCCCATTATCACATTTTTTTGTGCCAGCGTGTCTTGTGCATTTGTAAGAATGCCTCGGTCCTGCCCAGCGCTCGGGTTTTCTATGAGAAGGACCAGAGTTGGGTGACGCGGGTTCTGGGATGTGGGTAGGATTCTTACTGCTTGAAAAAAGATTGTGAAGAGGAGGTGGGAAGCTTTCTTTTTCTTTTTTTTTTTTTTTTTTTCCCCCCTCTCCCCCTCCCCCCCCAGGTCCCTGTCTGTGCTCCCCCTGAGATGGATGCTGCTGTGTTTCTCCTTAGAGAAGTGTAGAATCTCTTTGGAGCACATGCACAGTTGTTTGCTCCAGAGGTGCAGGGTGCCTGATAACTGGGTACAGCAGTCACTTCTCAAGTGTTTTGCTAAAGCAGGATCCAGAGAATCCTGCTGTGGATAGACATCTGGCTAGCAGTGGAGTAGAGAAAGTAGCTGGCTTCATGGATACATACATATCCGTGATGGAGATTTGTTTTGGATTCTAGGTGCCAAATTGAATTCCACTGAGCAGAAGGGCCCAGAGCACTCAGGTTCATTATAGAGAGGCTGCCAGAAGCCCAGGTGATGGAGCAAATGTGCCAAGGCTCTGCTGCCTCTTGTATCTGCCTGGAAGTAGAGTGCAGTGGCAAAGCAAACAATGAGTAAGAAACAGTAGGGTCCGACTCAACTCTGGCCGTACGTGAAGTCTGGGCTACTCTTAACAATTCTGTTATAATTCCAATGTGTTGCATTGAGTCCAAACTTTCCGGCTAAACCAGATGCCCCGTCAATGGCATATAGGCTGTTGGTGGCTAGAGGCTGAGAAACACGGTCTCCCAACCTGCACTGTTGAAGAGGGTGTCAAATATTTTTGTTGTCTCTTTTGTAGACTTAGCACTACATCTGTGTTTTGCACAAAACGTAACAGGAAGTCCTAAGTGCCCCAGATGCCTTTGACCTGAAACACTAAATCTGGAGTTCACACTACTTGCCAGTACTCCTGCTTTTTAGGCCTCCTTCATGTTGTTCAGAGTAGGTGAGGGAGGTCTCTGCTGTATTTCACAGAGCACTACGAAGGAAAACAAGCTCTCAGGGTAGGTGCCTGGCATGACCAGAGAGCTGGTAGCGGAGTAGTAGCCTTGGGACCAACAAGTGAAATGCCGGGGTCTGCCTGAGAGTTGATGCTGAGGGCAGGGCAGCAACTGCTTCTAGAATAGTTACATTCCTGATCCCATAGAATATTTGGGAAAAGTGAAGGAAGAATTCCCTCATATGCCAAACAGCTTTGCACCAATTTTACCGCTTTTTTTTTTTTTTATTATTATTATCATTTTGTCTTTATGCCAAAAGTATCCTTTTTTGTACAAGGTTTTTTCTATGAAGAGGTTGTTACAATCAATCTTGGTTAGTCTAAATGCCATTCTTCTGGAGTGGATGATGGAGCAGCCCCATCTACTTCCTTGATTCTTGTGCAAATGGTTTGCACAGCAACCGTGGCTGGCTGCAGAACCAGCACTAAAAAATTCAGGCTCTTGGAACAAGCTTTCCAGAGGGTCCTTTCCAAGGGTGATGGTGGCACTTCCCATTTGAATCACAGTTGTTTTTTTGTAGCCTCCTTTTACCTGTCAAGAGATGTTGACCTGGCACAGAAGGACTGTCTTACCTTGTGTGGAACAGGGTGAATTTCTCTGAATTGTGGAATGCTTCTTGGGCTTTAAAAATTGGAGCGTGTACTGAACCGTATTGGTCAGCTGCTTGGCCGTAGCATTGGCCTGGTCACCTCCTTGGCACCATGACAGCTGGGGCAATGACATTATGTATGATGACTAACCCACTGCATGTTGGTGAAACCTCCTCTGACCTAGAGAAGGACAAGTCACGCTTGCACCTCTGGATGGTGCACAGTGTGGTAGAAGAGAAGGCATTGGGGTTAGAAGATGAACGTGCTTTCCAGAAAGAGGATGGCCTGTCCGCTCTGAGCTGAATTCATGAAGCATGGCTGCAGAACTGGTCCCCTTCTCCACCTCTCTAGTGGCTAACCCCATGACAAATGCCTACTGTACTGAAAGTGCCAAACTTCAAACCAGACATGCCTACATTATCTCTTCTGGCGACGGGTTGGGTCAGGATTTCCCGCATACCAGAAGGAGGGATTGCGGCACTCAGGACAGAAGTCGGGTGAGATTCTCCTCTCCAGAATCCCAACCCCACGGCCTGAGAAAACGGTCCCTTGGCCACGCTCCATTCCCGTGCGCTTTTTTTTTTCTTTTTCTTTTTTTTCGTCCTGAAGAAACAGGCAAACTCTGACCCAGTTCTGCACTTGAAAATGGAGAGACCCAAAGTGGGGCCAAGATCACCCTTTCATCCTCCCATCTGCCTGAATCATTCTGTAAGGATTGGCTCTGTGGTGAGCAACCGCCCCTCCTGCTCTGTCGTGTTGGATAGCTCCCACCCTTTCTGCCTGTCTCCCCTTCTCCTGAAATCGGATTCTTTGGTCTGTTGTTGCTTCCTAGCGATGTTGGCGTTGCCTTCAGCTACATTTTTGTTTTATTTCTGGGGCGGGAGGGGGGTTAATTTTATTCTTTTTAGTTTTTTTTCCACGTGTTTTATTACTTGGTAATTATTTTTTAAAGAAAAAAATGTGCTTTTTGGAGTGTGCTGACCATCGTATTGTACTATACAGAACCCAGGTTGTTAGAGTCCAGCAGAGGTAAAGTCTGTACTGCAGCACCCAGTTTTTAAAAGTATGGTTTGTGCCAATGCCCCTTCTTTAGTAGTGCCAGAGACTCTTTACAAGTGCCAATGTGGTGGAAATTATTTGGTTATACTTGTATATTATAGGATCCTGATTTAAGACAATTTAAACATTATCCTATTTAAAAAGATACTATATAAAATGCTGTTTTTAAACCTTGTCATTTGAAATGCATGTATTGTTGTGAGTGTCAGGGGGGGAGGGTGGGAACGGGGTGGGGGAAAGGAGTTTCTGAATAAGCTGCCCAGTGCCCATTCAGGCTCCAAGCCGTCTCATTCCAGTCCAGGAGTGCGATCGTTTCTTGGAACAGCCCACCTCTGGCTTCTGGGCACTGACCCTTATTGCAGAAATACCTGATGGAAATTGATTTTCATATCTTTCTCCTGAAATAAATTCTCTGTTTGAAATTGGAATAAATTTTGTTCCTAAAACCTCTGGTGGCTGCGTGCGTTTGTTTGCTTTTCCTCTTTCCCCAGGTGCCTGAGGCCGCCTCAGACAGGTGCACGGACAAACTGGTAAGAGTGAGATTTGGGACGTGATTTGGGATCAAGCAGCATCGGTGCAGCCGCTAACAGGCGAGCCATTGATGTTGACCGTGAACATGTGCAGTCTAAGAGGCAGGGTGTGCCATTGGGCACATCGAGAGCAGGGTCTGTTACCTATTTAATTCCAGTGGTCAGCTTTGAAAGACCCCCTTGAAAACCAGCAAGGAAGGAAGACAACCACACGGAGCAGCCCCCAGTTGAGAGTTTGTTGACTTGCTGTGTGCCCAACAGATCCAGCCCCTGGCAAAGTATGTGGCTTCCCACTGCCAAGTCCACATGACCGAGCAGTTGGAAGCAATGATGCCATCATGCCAATGACTGAATTGGCATCTGCTTGGCAGCTATGGTGCAAGCATTCTGGCTGCCATATTATTTATTCGGGGCTTCATGCACCTGGCTTCTGCTGCAATGAGATTGAGGACCTCTGCATGCCTTGACCTGCTTAAATGGCAGGATGTACCAGGTAGCCTTGCGAGAGAGCTCTGTGAAAGGACCTGGGATCAAAGATAAATATGGAAAAGGACTCCTGGAACAGCTCTGCGAAGTGGGGCAGAATCTGGATGCTTGTCATGTTTGAGAGTGGGAAGATGACATTGTTTCCAAGAAATGTGATGCCAGAGCAGAAATCAGAAAGGGAGGGCACAAAACAGTAGGATGTTCCTTGTTCCAGCAGCTGTCTACACTAGAGAGAGGCTGCAGATAGACAAAACTCGAAGCTGGCTGTTTAAAAACAGGGCGGCTTCTGTCCTGATGCATCTACAGGTGAATTTGGCATGACTGAGGGAAGCTAAACCACTTTTTTTTTTTTTTTTTTTTAAAGGGTTTGTGGTGTTTTGGAATGAAGAATAGGTCTCCTCTCGTGGTTTTAGCGTTGTCTTTGTCCTAGGACCTAGGAACATCTCCAGCTGGTGGACATCGCACCATCCCAGAGAAGGAGCCTTGCTAACATTTTGCCCATTAATCCCCACGTTGGTGATCATCAGACATCTGAGGTGTGGAGGTTAAGTGACCTGTGTCAACAGAGTACTTCTGCCATAAAAAAGCATTTCAGTTCAAATTTGATAAGGGGAGTTTAGCTAAATAGGGTTGAAATTCAGTGAAGATGAAACAAATTTTGATTTGGGTTAAGCCTAGAGGTGGATCTGAGGTTGAACATGGGCCGCTAGAGGTTTTTTGGGCTCCCTGCTGTTGTCACCTTGAGTCGACTGATCCAGGCCGAGCAACCCAAGTGGCAAACACTTTTTACAATGTAGTCGCACCCCTCCTGCTGAGAGAGTGTTACAACGTGAAAGCAGAATTTGGCTTTTCTGAGCCCAGTCCTGTGCTGAGAATCTTAAGGAAACCATCCCTTTTTCCAAGGAAGGAGTAAAAGATTGCTTCTCCTTGTATTTTTGCCTCTAGAAATCAAGGGTAAGCACCATATTTGATCTTGGCATGTGGCTGACAGCAGCTCACTTCACGTATGCCTGCCACAAAGGAGCAAAAACCAGAGCCTGATTTAGCAGTACATTTTCATCCTAAGTTCTTTGCAGGTGGGTACCTAATTACACCCCATAAAGGTTGGCTGCTCATGATCCAAAAGGCTGCATCTAAATCAGATGGCATAGAGCAGAGTGCATTGCTTTTGTATCCTTAATGTACAGGTAAGGCCTGCAGAGACTACAAGGTCTGATGTGAGACCCGTGACTCCATCTCAACGTGAAGCACAACAGGCCAGGAACTGCCGTTTCATGGCTGCTTATTAACTCATGCAAGTGGTCATACAACTGCTATGTTTTGGTCCTTAGATCTCAGCATCTCTACGTTCGTGTTTGATGGGGAATGAAGCGTCTTCAGTACAACGTACCATAGTGGCATTAAATGGTATGTTTGTCAAGATGAGGCATAGGTTTTCTCAGATCCTTCTGCCTGCATCCTCTCCCTTTCTTTGCACATGGACTGTAATGCTCTAAATACAAAAAGTGGTGGTGGACTCCTTTCTGCTCAAATTCCTAAGGCCGAGGAGCTGCATTGGGTAATGCTGTGAGTGCATCTCCTAACTGGCCGACAGATGTCGCTAGTAATACCCGAACAGTAAATGTTAGTATTTTAACAAAATATTTTCCATTGTGTTATGTAGGAGGACGGGACTAGATAAGAGAGAATGTAAGAATTGGCCTGAGACGCAAGTTACACCAGAAAAAGTTTTCCTCTTTGCCTGTTGACTAGCTTTCAGACCAAAAAAGGTAAGAAAAATGTTGGCATGGGAAGGAGAGAAGGAAGAAGGAAAAATTGTCCTTTCTTCTAAGAAGAGATGCCTCTCTTCATGATCCCTGTTGGCCCTTTATAGCAGGAATAATGGTTAAAGCACTCCATCAGAAGGTGTTAACTGGCCTTTCTGTGGCTAGAACTAAATGTTTGATTTTGGAGTCACTGTGCTTTTTTCTTTTCTTGGAGATCTTGGCTTTATTCACTTGCTCTCTGCCTTGGCACTCAAAAACCCACAGGAGCACCCTTCCCCCTCACACCGAACTCTCTTGTGGATGTCCAGCCAAGCATAAGATACTTCAATGTGTCTGATATCATGGTTTGTTTTTCATATCTCTATTGGTTAAGTGGCTGATTAGAGTATAGGCATGATATTTCTTTGCTATCTCAAGAATGGTGGTATCAAGATCACAGGCATTTCATACCACAGAGTTGCATGGGTAGATTCTGGGAAAGAAAGACTTTTGAATTTGTTTTAAGGAGTTGCTCATTGCAGCATTGTAGGTGGAGAAAATGTTGATGAAATCTTTCTTCCGACCTAGATGGAAAGGTGTAAAACAAATGTCGGATTTCATCCCAGATCACAGGATCCTTCTCCCTCTTTGGGTTTGGTTGAGCCATTTCAGCATTTTAAAATATCCAGGGGAAGCCTTTAAATTAAATTGCAAAGGGGGGAAAAAGAAAAATGAGGAGTAGGTGTGGGGGGGCGCATCTATTCAGCTCAATGCTGCCCTCATAGCATGAAAATAGCTAGCTGAAAAATGAAACTCTAAACGCTTCAATTTCTCCATAAAATCCTCCTGGTCTATCCTCATTCGGTGCAATGATCCTAGCTTCATTTCCAGTATAACAAAAGATATGATCTTTGCCTGGAGAGTGTCTTCCAACAACTGCTGTCTTATGCCAACCTATCCAACCCGCCATGAATTACACCCCGAAGATGATGCTTAACACAGAACTGAGGTCTCTTCCGCAAACCTCTGTTTCTGCAGGCAGAACTAGCCTTGAGATAAGGGGCCTGGGATGAGAGGAGAACTTGAAACTTGCTGCGCTGAAGACTTTCTGCAGCCTGGCCTCATTACAAATCTGGGCTCAGCTCGACTTCTGCTTTTGCCATTCCCAATTAAAAACAGTAATTAAAGGTTAACCTTTAAGTGCATGTCTTAATTGAGTAGCTTGTTCATTTTGGCTACCAAATTGCAAATTCAGGCTTCCAATCTTTAAACGCTCCCAATTTCATTTAGTTGTTACAGAAAGACCCTGACGAAGGAGGAGTGACTACCAACCGAAAGAGGGCAGTGTGCACTCGCGAAACCCATCGCTCTCTTCCCCACTGATGTGGCTGGCCAAGAAATAGGACCTTTTCACAGCACAGCTTGTTAATTCAGCTTGATTGTAACCTATACAAATCAGACTGGTTCTTTTAAGGCCTTTGAGCTACCTGAAACTTGAAATGGCCTGAACTGCAAGCTCTCTTGAGGCTACGGTCCTATGTTTTGCTTTGGTGTGACATCTAGTCCGTTGGGGCTCTGTCCATGTCTGGACATGGCTGCTGCACGAATAAGCAAGAAGGGGCTGTCAGAGGTTGTTCTTTAGACAAACGTTGATCAAAACGAGATTCTCCATTTCCTGAAGTTTCAAAAAATGCTCGTCTAGTTTTATAGTCGCAGCGCGATCGAGCAGTTTGCAGGTCGAACGTATCATCCAAATAAAAGAGGCTAAAATAAAGCTCATGGAAGCCCGTTGCAAGCTTGGGCCAGATCTGCTGTGGCACGTAGGCCCCTCCTGGAGTTTGCAAAAGCAGTTTGCCCACTTCAGTGCCTTGGATCAACTATTAGGTGCCTGTCTCATGGTCCTGAAATACCTTTGCAAATTGGAGTCCTTTACTGTTGTTTCATAACCTCAGTATTCCTCTTTCTACTTGTGCTGGACTTTCGTTGCTGATCCTTTAGCTGCTTTCTCTCTCCTGCGAATACAAGGGCTCTAAACCCCAAGGATTAATAAACTGCAAAACCCAACTGGATGCAGTCGGCACCAAGGAGGAAGATTTTATAATTTCTAATTTTAAAATACAGCTCCTTTCTTCAGCCGCATGACTGCCTTTTCTGCAACTGGCCCATCCTCATTTCTCCAGTGTGATTCATGTTTGAGGTATCAGCTGGGCCAACACCCGGGCAGCGTTCTGGATCCCCTGAATGCTTCATATTTTTTATTCTGCTTTATTAGCTCCCTGCCCCCGTCCTCCCTAAACTTCCTGCAATTCCAGGCTGCTGCAGTGGAATCAAGATGGGTTATAATCATGGCAAGAGGAGGAACATGCAAGAAGCTTGCCTTGTGGACACTTGTTTGAATTTTTCCCCAGAATTTTGTTCTGAAAATCTCAGCCCGAGCTGAGAACGTTGCACTGGTTCTGATGTTTCTGACACAGCTAATATTGCATTTCTAAGCTTTTCTCCTTCTTTTCCAGCCCCTGTCAAATCCCAGGAGTCTAGAAGCATGCAGGGAAAATGCAACTCCAGCAGGCTGGTTCTCTTTCCATCCGTTCCAAACAGTCCCTGGTGCAAACAACCACAGCCAAGTCTGACAGATTGGCTTCTGTCGTTACAGGGGGCGGTTAACTGGTTTATAAAGAATGAATCTCCTCTCTTCTCTAGTTGGGGCTTGAGGCACGTAGGTGGATGGTGAGAAGCTTCTCTGGGTTACGTGGAAGACGGCATGCCCGTGTTTTCACGCGTCTGTTGGCAGGAAGCTCATCTGCTCTGAAACATGAACGCTGAAAAAGCCCCTGGAGGTGTTTTTCTTCGTGTTCGGTTCACTTCTCATTTTGTTCCCTGCCCCAAACGCGTTTCACTTCCATTGTGCACCAGAAGAAGCCAAAAAGCAGCAATTTTACAGCCTCTAGCTTCATGTCTGCACCAGGTAGATACAAGCCCTAGACACCAGTGATTTGGGTTTGAGGCTGCCCCCTGTATTCAGGTCAGGTGGTAGCTGCCCCAGAACTAACCTCATGCTATAGTTTCCAGAGTACAGTTGTTCTTGATATGGGTGGAGGTGGCAGGATGGGCACCAAATGTGAGGGGCTGAAGAGAGTCCTGGGTTCTCTTGATGTCTCAGTCATTGACTGCCCGTGAGATTTTTATGCCACCCCAGGAGCACCATTGAAAGGGATAAGTAGCAAATCCCCCCCCCCCCCCCCCCCCCCTCCATCTGCACTATTTTCGCATGCTAGCAGCTCACAGCACGTAATCACGAATGAAACCTGCGGTGGAAAGTGAAACAAAGGTCATTGCAATGCAGAAGAGGATGGAGACTCTGTGGCCAGATTTCTTTGAAGCCCTCAGAGTTTTAAGATGTCTGAGATTCTGTTCCCCTCCTCAGAGAGGAAGACTCAGGAGGTGGCAAATGAGGAAGAAGAAAGCTCTCTGCATCTCCTGTGAGCTGGGAGGGGAGAGGGCTGGGACACGCCAGTGCATTGCAGCCCGTTTGCTCAGACGTGCGGAGAAGGTGGAGCGCATCTGAAGATGGGCGCGCTGGTGACACGGGAACTCCCTAATGGTTTTAGCAAGGTGCAAAGACTTGCCACCAGCAAATCTCAGCCTCGGAAACTGCCCTTTATCTCCGAAAGAAACCTCGGGGGCCTGGAGCTTGGTTGAAGATGACATTTTTTTTAACCACCATCCAACCACTTGGTTGGAGATGGCACTTCAACCGCCGTCCTGGGGGAACTTAATCCAATGCCTTTTAAAAACCTATCGCAACAGATTTTTATTTTTTATCTTCCACCCAACCCTCTTTGTGGCTTTTCTTGCAAAATGTACACCCCCGGCTACAAAGAAATGACTTCCCGTCTTCTCCAGAAATGTGCCAGCCAACAGCCAATTTTTGCCGAGGTGTAAAAGATTCCAGATCAATTTGGGGTGACTTATTATTATTTGACCAGAAGCCATAAGAAAAGAAGCATTGATGTAATGTCAGGTCCTGGGAAGATTTGGCAACAGCCTTTGCTGCTCAAAGAAGCTGTAGAACGGGTATTTATGTAGAGTTTGTCCAGTTGCGGAAGTTGGAGCGTGTGTGATTTTAAGTGCCTGTCCATGAACTGATTTCCAGTCAACACCTGGCTGAGTTCAGC